CCTAGGCTATATGCCTTAAGAAATAATATATACAATGACAGTAATATACATTTTCTAACAAGTGGTCAAATTTCTAGGAAAGATGGAAGAATAAGATCATATATACAAATTCTCCTCTTAGAAAATTAATTCAATCATTTTCCAAATGAGGGAAAATAGAATCAGTGCTGAAATAGGGAATAGTGTGAACAATTAGCCACATATTTGGAGAAATTTTATTCATTTATTTAACATGTTTGAATCTGGAACAAAGAGCAGGAGCCCTCTTAGAATTACTTCATACCGAGGACTGACAGCATTAGAAGAGAAAGCTACTCATACAAAATAGAACTTCCATGAATTTTAGGTCTTTCCTTGGCCCAGCTTCCCATTAATATGCTGTACCCCATTATGTACATAGAGTAGCATATTCAGAATTCATAAAGGAATATTCAGAATTTTAATGACATAAAAATAATATGCATATATGTAATAATATTTATATGGTACTTAAATCAAAAAGTATCAAATGGTGTGCAGCAAAATCTCCCTCTCATAGCTGTCCTAAACCATCCATCTCATTTCTCCCTCCTTTAACTACAATTAACATTTTCTTGTGTATATTTATAGAAGTATTATCCCTATATTAACATATATCCCTTTATTCTTCAGTGTTCTATGCTTTGCTTTTTTTTTCACTCAACAATGTATCCTGCAGATATTTTCAATGAAGAGTAACAGAAAGACCTTCCTCATTACTTCTTACATAGTGCTGAATTGTGCAAATGCATTTTACTATGTTAAATCAGCTTTTACTGATGTACATCGTATCATGTTTTTAAAATAATCTGTGATGTAATCTAATTATATCTACAATGGCCCTATTTTCAAATAAAGTCACATTCTGAGGTACTAGGGATCAGAGCTTCAACATATAAGGGATGACAATTCAACCAGTGACACATACATTGCCAAGAGTGAAGGGAAATGTGTATGCTTATACACTGATAATGGCAATGTGAATTGTTTAACCTTTTAGAGTGGCAACTTGTCAATATGTATTAAAAATTTAAAAATGTGTCTTCTTTCTAAAATAACAGTCTTGAAAATTCTGTCTCTATCTTAGGCAGATAATTACACAGGATCAAAATATATGGAAAAAGGTCTACACAGTGTTGATTTAGCATTAAAACACAGAAAATAAGAGTAAATAATTGGTTAAATGGATTATGATTCACATATATCCATTATTAAGGTCATTAAAAATGAAGATATTATTTTACTGAGTTTCACAATGTTTTCACTTCCCAGTGATAACAATATATCTCATCATTATCAAGAATGCTGTGGGCTTGAAGGAGGTTTTTCTTTTCAAATTTAAAGTAACAAAAATAGGTAATAATTAATGTATGTACAGTCTAATTATTAAAACATTATTATTTATAGCTAACAGGAAACAACAAGTATTGGCAAGGTTGTGGGGAAAAGGGAACTCTTCTGCACTGTTGGTGGGAATATAAATTGGTGCAGCCACTATGTAAAACAATGTGGGAGTTCCCCAAAAAATTAGAAGTAGAACAACCATATGATGCAGCAATTCCACTTTTGGGTATGTGTCCAAAAAAGAAAAACAGAAACCATTAACTCAGAAAGATATATGCACTCCCATGTTCATTGAAACTTTATTTACAATAGCCAAGATATGGAAGCAATGTAAGTGTCCTTGGATAGACATATGGATAAAGAAGATGTGGCACAAATATTCAATGGAATGTTATTCAGCCATAGAGAGAAGAAAATCTTGCTATTTATGACATGGGTGGACTTTGAGAGCATTATACTAAGTAAGTCATACAGAGAAAGACAAATATTGAACAATATCACTTATATGTGGAATCTAATATCACACACACACACACACACACACACTCACTCACAGATACAAAGAGGAGGTTGGTGGCTGTCAGAGACAGGAATGTGTGTAGGGAGGGGGGATGTGGGTGAAGGTGGTCAAAAGGTACAAACTGCCAGTTATAAAATAAATAGGTCCTGGGGTAATGTACAGCATGATGACTGTAGTTAATAATGCTGTATTGCTTGTTTGAAAGTTACTAAGAGTGTACATCCTAGAAGTTCTCATTACAAGAAGAAACAATTTGTATCTATGTATGGTAATGGATGTTAACTAGACTTACTATGGCAATCATTTGGCAATGTATACAAACATCCAATCACCATGTTGGATATAATATAATACAAAATTAATATAATGCTATCTCAATTATATCTCAATTAAAATATTACTAACTTGTGTGTACATTTATTGATAAGAAAACATGCTTATAATATAAAATTAAATAAAAAGTTACAAAACAGTATCAGTAATGTGGTCCCATTTATGTAAAAGTTGCAAACGGAACATTTTTAAATGTTATACACCAAAAAGTACAATAATCAGTTAATGCACCAAATCTTCTAAGAATATTTTTTCTAGATGGTGGAATTAAAGAATATTTTAATTTTTAGTTTTTGCTCCTCTGTATTTCTAATTTTAATGAATGTGCATTGCTTGTGTGATAAAGACTAAACAAACAAGATTTAAGCAAATGAAGTGGGAGCTGGGGCTACTTTGATAACTAAACTGATACTAAGTGAGACATGCCAAGGAGGGACTGGATGTGAGGAGAGTGCATGCATACAGCTACAGTGGCCCTGGGAATTCTCTCCTTCTGGCCAGGTGGACATCTCAAGTGTGAGTAGCGGGAGGGGAGGATGATGCCTTGGACAGCTAGGGGCCTCCTGTGCTGTGCTGCACTGTGCAGAACCTTGCCTCTGGCATATATGTCCTTTTCCAGGAGCTTCAGTCTTCTTTGCCCACAAGCTCGGGGTGGGGGAGAAAGAAGGTGGTATATTTAGGGTCTGACCTCAGTCTGATCTTAGTCTCGAGGTCACAGCAGCAGCTGCCCCAGCAGCACAATGCAGACGCACCCCAGGGAGCAGGAGGCCAGCTTCCCTCACAAAGGCAAGGGACACAGTAGGACAGAAGGTATGCACTTTGCAGGTGCTGAAGACAACTCCCCATCCGCAGGCCTCTTCCCTCCCACCGCCCCCACACCCAGGCTATCTAGCACTGTTCCCAGGGAGAAGGAGACTGTGGGGGAGGGGGTGCTCTGAGCCTGGATGTTGGCAGTGGTGGTGCAAGAAGACCCGAGTTCCAGGATGAGGGCCTCGGCCCTTCCTTTCCATGGGGCCCCAGGACATGGGTCAGGAGCATGCTAACAAGGCAGGCACCCAGTCCAGAGGTCAGGATGTGCAAGCCCAGCAGCAGGTCAGCAACCAGAAGCTGTAAGTGTACTGTCATCCCTGCTTCACCATGAGCAAAGGAGCCCAGAGAGGTTGGGCAGCTGGCCCCAGGCCACATTTCCAACATGTCTAGAGGGTGGAGGGTGCAGCCAGGATCTGAGCCGCAGTCACGTAATAGCCCTGCTGGCACTATGCTCCATGGCTTGGAGTGCTCCTTGGAGCAAAGTGCCAGGGTGCAGGTGGCCCAGGCACACCCCCACTGGCACCTGTACACTTCCTACAAAGTCAGGCACTTGGCCTCAGCAGCTGACTTGGACTGGCTGGAAGGAGGGGCACTTGAATACCATACACACAGTGTCCATCTGGCCACTCGGCCTGGTCCAGCCACTACTGACTATACACATGGGACCCCAGAATCCTCTCTGAGAAGGGCATCCCACACACCTGAGGCCCCAGACTTTCCATCTCCTCCAGCTTTTCCACCAGGCCATGCTCTCATGTATCTCTGCTTTCTTTGGCTGTATTGCCTTTCTCAAGTATAGCCTTTCCCCATACCAAATACCAAATCTTTAAATCCTGTTGTCCTTTAAATCTACTTCAAATACTGATTTTTTTTTGTGTAATCTCCTCTGATACAGGGGTGGGAGGAGAACATGACATAGACAAAATGACATATTACAACATCAGAAGGAGAGGGAACAGCGGTGTCCAGATAATGAAATAAAGGGACAGGCGTACCCTAATTCATTTATAATTTTGGATTCAGAGATCTTATATGGAGACAAGTGTTGAAGGCTCCCATCCCTTCATGCAAAAAATATTGTAGGATATGTGGGCCCCATGATATATGCAATTTTGCCAAGTACTCTAAGGTTAGTCAGGAATAAGGATTTCTCCTTCCTCAGTCCCCTGTATCTTGTCAGTTTCTAAATATACAGGACTTTAAGGCTATGGAATGTATTTCTATGTTCTGTTTATCAATATCCAAGGATGAGCCATTGATTGGACTTGGTAACTTTGACAGACAGACTTGTTTCTGAGATGGGTAGTTTACTTAAGAAAATAATTCCAGGCCTGACCAGTGGGCTCAGTTGGCTGGGCATCATTCTACAAAGCCAAACGTTTCTGGTTCAGTTCCTGGTTGGGCACATACCTGGGCTGCAAGTTTATTCCCCAGTGGGGCGCATGCGAGAAACGGCTGATCAACGTTTCTCACATCAATGTTTCTCTCCCTCTGTTTCACTCTCCCTTCCCCTTTCTCTAAAATTAATTAAATAAAAATCTTTTTAAAAATAAAGGAATTCATGACTCATCCATGGACCTCCTGGATGTGTACCTGGATTCTTTTGGTGTTAATAACTTGTCACCTCAGCATTGGTAGAGTTAAGCAAATGTATGCATGAAACCTTTAGGATCCATTCCATCTATCTTCTCTTCTGCTACAGTCCAGCCCGAATATCTTTGACTTTCTAACCCACTCCCCAAGAGACAGCAGAACATGGTAGTTAAAAGCATGGGCTTGGGAGCAAATCTGCACAGGCTAAGATCTTGGCTCTGACATTACATAATTGTGACATGCCATATACTACCGAATATCTCTATGCCTCAGTTTCCTTACAAGTCTATTTGGAGGATTACATAAATTAATTATAAACACTTAGAATAGTGACTGGTATGTGGTACATGTTACCAAAATGCTTGTTAAATATAATAAATACCTGTACTAGAGCGGATGATCTCTGTCCCAACAACATGGCCCAGCAAGTCATACTGATTTAGGCGAGAGCCATCCTGTGCTACTTCCACAGATTTGTTCTTCCCAAGAGTCCAAGAATAAACCACTTCGGCTGTTGTATAGGCATCTAAGGCAGAAAAGGGTCAAGAAGAGGAAGTTGAAGGGAAAGAAAAATGATTATCCTTAATACTAAACTTGCATGAGATTGAAATATAACTTCCATCCCAAAAGAGTCTTTGGTAGGTGCTCTCTCTTCAACTGAAGTACATTTATCTATCCATCTAATAAACAATCATTGTATAATTACTATAAGTTATTCCAGAAACAAACCCAAAGTGGTCTCTTCCTTCAGTGACTCACAGTGTTTTGGACTGTCAATAAATTGTTAAACTTTTCCTTCTCTTGGAGTATAGACAGTAGGGACAAGGAAAGGGATGGATAGAATATTATCTAATGTAGTTATCATAAGTTCAAATGCCTGCAGGAGCTAGAGAGATACTTTAAATGAGTAAATCAGGCTACTTGGAAGAAAAATTAACTGCCAGAAATGTAACTAATTTATAAATTAATTATAGGGTGACCATATGAAATAAAGAAAAAGATCATACTAGGAAGATTTTAAATTTTAAAAAATAAAAAATTTGAAATGAAAGTAGCAACAATTAATAACTGCTATTTTCTTTTAATACATATTACCACTCTGATTTGCAGAACATAAACCTGCCACCTTTTTTTTCTGCACCAGGATGTCAGTGTCAGGTCTTGTATTGAGAATTCCAATGGCAAGTACAGAATTTAGTACAGGTTAGTTTTAACAGGGGTGTGGGTAAGGGGAATGGATTGGGAATGAGGGGTGGGGCTATTTGATTTTAGCATTTTAAAGGAAGAGAGAGACTCCTTTTCTTTCCAGACATGCATTGACTTTTTGCACAGTGGATTTTATATTTGAGATGAGCATCTTGCCTTAACTCTGGCACGTAGAGTCATATACTGTTCACCCATTTCATCCAAGTTTTTGGCTGTCTGTTGTTAAAGTCAGTGGAGGGTCTCCAGCTCATGGTGGCACCTGCTATGTTCATAATATATTCTATTTAAATTACCACAAAGTGAATAATTCCTAGTGAATTTACCAATGAACAAATATAAACTATGTGTCCCTACAAAATCTTGCAACTTGGATACATATTTCATAACAGCCTGACATTAACACTTACTCACACATACTAATTGTTGTATGTTTATATTACATTTCTTCAGACTTTCTAAAATATATCAAAGTAAACCATTTCCTGATGTGCTTGTAATGGAAAATACATGAAAAAAGTCTTCATTCACATAAAAATTCTCATTAAAATCACGAAAAACATAAAACTTTATAGTATTTTTATATTTGTGCCCTCATAACCTACAAAAGAAAATACCATATGAAATATAGTTTTTCCATATAATATGCCCTATTTGGTTTCAGTCATTTCTTCAAAACACTGGCAGAAATATTTCTAGTTTAACATAAAGTTTCTGTTGTAATTAATAAACATTTCAATAAGATAGCATCTGTAAAATATTTTGATGCTTGGGAAGGTTTTTTGTTTAATGCACAACTGCATTTCCCAGTAGCACACTTACTGCATGTGTTCAAACACAAAACCTATTGAACTTTCAGGTTTAATAAACAAATAAACAATAAACACAATAAATAAACAAATCTTGAATTTTATGTTACATTTCCCAAATTTCAAAACTTGGAAAATAGTTTTAAAAGTTATAAACACTGCATATATCAAGTAAATCACATCTGCAAACTACCAATGTGCAACTTGTGGTCTAGAGACTTTCTCCTATAGATGGCTATTGTCTTTTGTGATTCAGCCTTGGAAAAAAAGCATCCTCTGCTGCCGATAGGGTATCTGGAGCTCCCAACTGGAATTGTAGATCATTAAACTACTATCACCATGAAGAAAATTCTCCTCACAATTCTTCTCACACCCTTACTCAAAATTGATTCTAAGACTATTGAGGACTGAAACAGGGCTATTAGTGAAATGTGATTTCATGTCCTCTCATTTTCCCCAGTGCCTTCCATCTTTAGTATACATGGGGGACCTAAAAAATCCCTTGAGTTATTTTCTGGAGGGTGGGCCCCTTGTAGTATGGGCTTCCCCAACTAGGTGAGTGTTCTAGGACCCCATGGAACCCATATGTATCAGTGTACTAACTGGTGTTGTTGTGAGAGGCTGTGTTTGGCTTCAGTGAATTATTTTTAAGACTCTTTCAATGTGTTTGCCCATTTCATGATGAGTGATTCACGAGCACACCTGCCCACACCACACCGAGTGTTCAGCAGTTTTTGACCGAAAACAGCAGGATTACTGTGCCCCACCCTCCTTAATCACCTGATCTCACCCCGTGTAACTCTTTTTGTTTGCCCAGATGAAAAAATCCTCAAAGGGAAACATTTTGCCGATGGAAGAGGTGAAACAAAAAACAGCAGAAGCACTAAAAGGCATCAAAATCGACGAGTTTAAAAATCTGTTTTGAGCAATGGAAAAAACATCTCAATAGGTGTATTGCATTAAATGGAGAGTACTTTAAAGGTAACTAAAGTTTAAACATGTAAGAATAAATACACGATTTTTAATAAATAAATTCTGTTTTTTGGGGTCCCACCTTGTATGTGCTTGGGTTCCACTGCTTCAGAGAATCACCTGTATATGTCTCATCTTTGCTATGTAAGTGGTTATAACTCCCTATGTTTTAAAGGACAATGCAATGTTCTGCCTAATATACCTAAGAGTTTGAAAATGTAAAAACTAGAACAGGTTTGTTCAGGGAAAGGATAGGATATAGAAGATATTTTCCATCCCTAAGAAAGAAAAGGAATTTCTTGCTTGATTTCAGCTTAAGCTGAGTACCTTGAGCAGACAATCCTGAGTGTTAGCCCCAAAATCCAAACATGTCCTAATATAGATTTGACAATAAATTTTGCAGCTACCAGTACCTTAGAAATTTAACTGGACTCAGAGTGGTAACTTGCTTAATACAAAAAGCAATGCTTTAATTTATTTGACAATAATATATGGAAACAGAGTGAATTATGGAGGAAAATATTCTCTTCTCCTATGATTGAGGTCAAACCAGTAAAGACATGAAGTAATAATGGAAGACAAAGAAGAAAGAGATTTTTTTTTAAATTGAAAACTACTTGACTGTCTTCCCACAATCTGACACTGTAGTGGTAAACAAATGTTAATAGGCACAGAATGGCCATCAGGGTGCCCACAATTTATTGGGGGAGACATAGATCTTACTATAATCATAGTTCAAGCCTGAACATGAAAAGTATGCACACTAGTGGAACAAAACAAGAGTTAAAGGAAACCAGAGGAGGACACTATAGCTTCTGTTCCAAGTTGGGTGTTAGAGAAGGATTTATAAGGTAGATACTGAATGAGGCCGCCTTTTGTACCTAAAAGGATATTCCTAGCAAAAGAACAACACAGCATAGGCAAAAAGCATATCAAAACATGGGGAGTTAGGGAATCCATGGTATCCCTGACTTAAAGGCTAGAGAAAAGTTGAGGTAATATTATGACGTATCCTAATTGCCCACACTAAGAAATAAGGGATTTAGTCCATAGGCTGTAAGTTATTGTGACCTGACTGAAGTAGAGAGATATTATATCCAGATATATGCTTTGGAAGGCTTACCCTAGTTACAGTATGGATGACTAGATGGAAAAAGTGCAACTGTAGCTTAGACAACAGTTAAAAGGCCATCACAATGTTTGGAGTGAGTGATCCTTAGGGCATAATATGTAGTAGTAGACAGTGGGCTGAATTGAGTGGGATAAAGAGGAAATTTCAGAGGTAGAACAAATTATAACTGATGGTTAAGGAAAGGGGGACGTTTAAAGAAGGATTCTAGATGACCCTGAGAGTGTAGCCTTTGCAGGCAGATAAATGATGGAATTCATTCACCCACCTGATAACAGATCTCTTTCCCTTCAGGCCTTCTCTTTCATCTATCCTTCCCCCCATGCCTCTTTGGCTTCCATTCACCCCTCAGCTTCTCTCCCATAGAGTCCTTCCTTTTATTTTCAGTTCCAATCATTGTATTTTCATGGAGGAGCAGAGGTAGAGTCGGGAGTGGTGGATATTGCAGAAAGGATATCTACCAAACCATAAAAACTACTGTACTCCCAGAATGTCTCCCTCAATATACAGGGTCTGGCAGAAGTAAGGCCTGCTTGAGCGTGGTTGGTAGGCTAATAATATAGGTGTAATAATTTATATTTTTAATGTGAACATTTCACCTAAAATGTCATATTGCATGCTTGAGTATGATATTGTTATGTTACAGAATTACATGTTTATGATTTTGTAATAAAATATTTTGTAATAAAAAGGGGCATTATTTGTGCTGGACCTTGTATGTTGTATGGGCTATAATGGCACAAGCATGTCATTGCCTTTGTTGCTTTGCCAAATGTCTCCTTCTGTTCGTTGAGCCTTGGTACATGTCAGGCTCCAGGAAAATGGGATGTAAAACACAATCCTGCCACAATAGCATCATGAGAAAGCATTCCCTTTGAACTCATATTGTCAAGGTTTATTTGCTTGCTTGCTTGATTTAGCCAGTCACTTATTCAACAAATATTGATGTTAAGACATTTATTTTTGATAGTTAAAGCACAGAGGTCAAAAGACATTTGAGGTCACATCCCTTCATTGAGCTTATAGTCTATTGGAGAAAGAAAGAAAATAGATACTTAAATAAGGAAGATAATATCAGACATTAATATGTGCTCTAAAAAATGAAACAGTTTATGAGGTAGGGAGAGGTTTCATTAAACACAGTGATCAAAGAAGACTTCTTTGATGGAGTAGCTTTTAAGCTGCAACATGGAAAAGGAAAAAGACCCAGAGCTTGATGGAGAATATTTCAGGTCAAAAAAGAAAAGAAAAACAAAAAACAGCAAGTGCAAAAAGTTTTCTAAGTTGGAAAGGTCCTGAAGTGTTCTAGAAACTGGTAGAAGGCCAACATAAAAGTGAGAGAGGTATGCAATGAGGTTGAAGAGGTAAGTAACAACCAAAATACAGCATCTAAATCAAGACAGGGAACAGAAA